GGGGCTTGGTAAATATGTCAGCCCACTGTTTGTCAGTACTGACAAATTCCAGACTAATTTTACCTTCTTGGACCAACTCATAGATGAAGTGATATCTCACTTCAATGTGCTTGGTCTGTGAGTGCTGAATGTGGTTTTTTGTCATGTTAATCGCACTGGTATTGTCACAGAAAATAGGGAGGGAACCTAACTATAAGCCATAATCATGAAGCTGATATTTTAACCACAATAGCTGTGTACAGCCTAGTCATGCTGCTACATACTCGGCCTCAGCAGTAGAAAGAGCTATCGAGTTTCTTTTTTGCTGGCCCAGGATATAAGAGATGTTCACAGAAAGTGACAAGTACCAGAAGTGCTCTTTCTGTCCACCAAGCACCCAGCATAGTCAGAGTTACTATAGCTTATTGTATCTAACCTTTAATCACTAGAGTACCAAAGACCTAAATGAGTAGTGCCAAGAAGATAACGAAATATCCTTTTAACTGCAGTTAAATGACTCATTTTTGGGCAACTTTGGAATCTAGCACACACACATACATTGTACATTATATCAGGACGACTGACTGTCAAATATAACAATGATCTAATCATTCCACGATACATTCTGTTATCAACAGAAATTCCAGACTCAACTTTTGATAATTTAATCGTTGTTCCCATGGGTGTTAAAGCACTTTTAAGATTGTTAAAGTTGAATTTTTTGAGCATGTTCTCAAGATACTTTGTTTGACTTATAAATGTTACTTTCTTGGTTTGTTTGACCTGTAAACCTAAGAAGTATTTGAGTTCTCCCATAAGACTCATTTCAAAAGCTCCCTTCATGTCATGCTCAAATTCCTTACATAAAGCACTACTTGTGGATCCAAAGATTATGTCATCCACATAGACTTGTACTAGTAAGGTATGATTTTTTTATTTTTTATAAACAGTGTTTTGTCCACAGCACCCCTATGGAACCCTTTTTCTAACAGAAAACAATTCAACTTGTCATACCAAGCTCTAGGAGCTTGCTTAAGACCGTAAAGAGCCTTATTTAGCTTATATACATGATTTGGAAATTCATGGTCTTCAAATCTAGGCGGTTGAGACATATAAACTTCCTCTTTTATGTCCCCATTCAAAAAGGCGTTTTTTACATCCATTTGAAATAGTTTAAAACCTTTAGCAGCTGCAAAGGCACATAGCAAACGAATAGCTTCCAGTCTTGCTACAGGTGCAAAGGTTTTATCAAAATCTATTCCTTCCTCTTGGTTATAGCCTTGAGCTACTAATCTAGACTTATTTCTTGTGATTTTGCCTAATTCATTAGATTTGTTTCGATATATCCACTTAGTACCAATTATTACTCTGTTTTCTGGTTTAGGGACAAGCTCCCACACATTGTTTCTTCTAAATCGGTTCATTTTCTCATGCATTGACTCATTCCAAAATTCGTCATCTAAAGCTTCCTGAACATTTTTGGGTTCAATCAATGACACAAATGCAGTTTGAATAGATGATAATTTGGAGCGAGTGGTCATACCTTGATTGATGTCACCAATTATTTGAGAGGAAGGGTGTATTTTCGGTATATGTGGTGGTGTCTGTATGAGCTGTTCCTCTGACCTTCCTTCCTCTTCTCTTGCCGTGTCAGCAGCTTGTACACTTGAATTTTCTGATGTTCTATTTTCTTTACTACTAGACTGATGAGTGCCAAGTCCTAAATCATCATCTTCTTTAATCAATTCTGCACACTTACTTGAAGTTTCATCAAATACCACATTGATGGACTCCTCTACTTTGAGGGTCCTTCTGTTAAAAATCCTATATGCCCTACTGTTCTGAGAATATCCTAGAAAAATAGACTCATCAGTCATCGAATCAAATTTTCTTAGATTATCTTTTGTGTTAAGGACAAAGCATTTGCAACCGAATGGGTGAAAGTAACCTAGATTAGGTTTTCTTCCCTTCCATAATTCATACGGTGTTTTGTTTAATTTTGATGGTCGATTGAATGACGGAATCGTCACTGAGATCGCAGTGTATGCAAAAGGAAATGAACTGAAAGCGAGAAAGTAGAGTAGAAAGTTAAAGCTGATTACAATAGATTGGATAGCGGTGAAAGTGGTAGTACAACAACCTAACTCAAATATCAATTGCCTCTGCAAATGAGTTTAGGGATTTGGATTTGCAGAAGAGAGAAGAAAGAAGGCCTTATCAAAAAGAGGGAAGAGATAAGGATAAGGAGAAGACGAATGAGATGAGAGAGATTGTGTGGCTCTCTGTTTCTTTTCTCTACTTACTAGCTTTTTTAGTGGGCTAGGCTTAAAACAACTACAAAACAGGCTAGAATCAATTAAAATGACCGGTTTTATTAATTTGTGACAGCCCAAATAGAGCTTAGCCCAGCTGAAATATAGGTAATCTGGCGTGTTGGACCCAAACTAAATATAGTTACAGAATAAATATAATTAGGTATAGAAAATTTGTGTTTTTGCAATATTATCAAAAACTTACTTGAGATTCTCAATAAAAAATGGACTTAATTATTTCTCAATGTGTATATTTGCATTAATTACTACTATAATAATTTGAAATTTTATATAATATTTCATTATAAATAATATTATTATTGAAGCTCTCATCACGCTCTGAAAATTCAATTCTCAAATAATCGACACTTTCGCGCTCCCGCTCTACGAACTGGTAAGCTAAGGTCGAACCATATCTCTGTTTCTTCCCAGCAGCATCTCACCCTGGCCATCAGGTGAGCCGCTTCATTCCCTTTCCTCCCCCAGAATCACACACTAATCTCCCTTTCTCCCCTTATCAAATTTTTGATCTCTGAGCAAATTATCTCGATTTCCATCTATGCTCGATCATCCTCTTGGATCTTCCTTATCACCGACAAGCAGTCCAATTCTACCATGAGCTGCCGGTACTGGTGAGTGATGCTCAAGCCCAACGCCCAGGTCATCACCTTCGCTTCAGCTAGTTCGAGCATCCACAAGGTTTTTGTCTGATGAACTGTTGCCATTTTGAAATTCCCAGCACCATCTCTTACCACCATGCCAAAGTCTGTTCCAGCCTCTCTTAGAATCGCCGCATCGACATTTCCTTTGAAAGTGCCCTCTCTAGGTTTCTCCCAACGATAATCCGGTTTATTTTCCATGTACGTGCTCTTCTCCTGAGCTGCTTTGAATTCCTCTATGTATTGCTCTGACCTGGCGATTATCTCACATTCTTCCAATATTGGATTATTGAACAAGTGGTTGTTCCTTTCCTTCCATAGAAACCATAGGGTTGTTATGAACGAACCCATTTCCTCATCTATCGATATTTCCATTTCCTGGCAAAACCATTCTTCACTAGATTTACTCTTACCCAGTCTGAAAATCTTGCTAAGCGAACTTGGACGCCACACTCTGCCTGCCCAATCGCAATCGCAGGTAATGTGGTCATGTGGCTCGAGCAAACAACACAATGAACATCCTTCATATACGTCATTTATTCTTCTTACCAAATTTGAGCATGTAGGTAGTATATTACTTCCCCATCTCCAAATGAATACCCTGATTTTAGGGGGTATCTTCAGATGCCAGAGTCGTTTCTAGTCAATTGGGATGTACCTCTCTCCTTGAACATTCTCTCTTTTCCCTTCTCCATAGATGGTAAGCAGATTTAACATAGTATCTTTCTAGTTTCTCAGGTCCCCATACCCATGTATCTTCGAAAGGGTGAGTAGGCAGTGGAATCTACATGATTCTTTTTCGATCTTCCGGCTTGAAATAACTCTGCATAAGGTTATTCTTTCAAGTCCCGGTCTCTTCATCAATAAGCTTGCCACCCTCGTATCCCAATTTAATCCATTCATTCGCGTTTCAATTTTGTATCCTGGACCTGGGAACGGATCAGGTCAGTAACTTAATGGTGAGTAATTATGAGTAACCCACCCATATCAGCATGACATCAGCATCCTCTCTCTCCTGGAAAGCCTTTAATTTTTTCCTCCTTAATCTTTGACGGACGATTTCTCACTCGTTTTAAGTCGAAATTTAATTTTTTTTGCACAGTTAGATCAAATTAATTGTGCTCTTCAAAATGATATCCACTTTGATATATTTTTCGAACAAAAAAATTGAGTCATTTTATACCAGTCTATACCATATGATATTGACTGGTATTGAAATAAGAGCATACCTATGGTTTGAAAAGCGTACCATGGTGGTATGACACAAACCAAAACTGTAGGATGGTTGAATACATGATAATAGAAGTATATTAATTGTCATTTACGACTTTTAACATCGTATACCATAAGATACCATAAGATACCACCCCGTACCAGGGTGGTATTGTATGGTATTGTGTAGTATTTTCTTGTCTTGTAATTTGTTTGTAGATCCAATAGATCATGATGAACTCGTCCCTGCTGTGCAAACGTTTTCAAAAACGAATTAAAAACGAAGAAGATACCATATGGTATGCAGTTGGTACCGAGAGGCCAGAATTTTTTTTCCTCAAAAAATATTGAAAATTGATCTCATTTTGTAGAGTACGATGAACTTGTTCCATCTGTACAAAAAAAAATTAAAATCCGAGTTAAAACGAAAAAGATATGAGTCAATTAAGAAAGCTAGTGAAAATAAAAATGACCTTTAATTCTCCATCCTTATATCTGGATTTTCTAAATGAAGGGTCCAGATTTGGTTATGATGGGTGCATAACCCATGGTTATGCACCCTAACTTGAGCCCCTAGACCTTGTGGTGTACATTTGTCCCACAAATGGTATGAGTTATGCACCCTAACTTGAGCCCTGGACCTTGTGGTGTACATTTGTCCCACAAATGGATACCATCCCAAAACAATCCCACAAATGGTATGAGTTATGCACCCTAACTTGAGCCCTGGACCTTGTGGTGTACATTTGTCCCACAAATGGATACCATCCCAAAACAATCTCATCTTCAATACCACTCTTAACTTTTTATTCTTCCCGACAGGAAAAAACGGAGCGAGCTAAAAAATTAGTACCGATGGGTGCATAAAACTTAATTTGGTGGCGTAACTGTTATCTTCAATCAAAGTCCAATGTTGACGTCTGCACTCAGCGGGAGCCTGAAGGTGAAGGAGTGAAGACAATGAGAAAGCGGCAGAGGAAAGGAAAGATTTCACCAGAAAGAATAGAAAAAAACAGAAAATGGGGAAACCATGAAAAAGTTTTCCGTTCTTTTCCTCCTCTCCCACTGTTAGTCGCCGTCTCCTTCTTCCTTCCTTCACCAAACACCAAAAAAAAATCCATAGTTCATACCAGACCAAACGTCTATCTGTTTAGAACACTAAAAACCTGCCCCTCCTGGGAAAACCTCCGAGAAACATCTTCTTCGGTCCTCTCCTTAAAGACCCTTCATTTATTGCCCCACATGAATTCATCTTTCGACGGTTTCAGCTTCAAAGTCCTTGAAATCTTCGGTTATTAGTTCTGCAGAGCTCGATCGCTTATTCCGTCGCTTTCCTCCCCCCTCACCCTCTCCCAATTTTGGTCCCTGGGAGAGCGAGAAATAGATTATCAATCGAACTTGAGGGAGGAGGAAAGAGAGGAACTTTCTTTATTTTATTGGAGAATTGATGGGTGTTCTGTCAAATCTGAGGAATTTGAGAAATCCAGAAGATGGGTTGTTGCTGTCGTCCGGTTCCTCATCGCCGGCAGCTGGGCAGGCGGTGGGTAAGAGGAAATGGTCGAATTTCTTGCCGGTTTTCATCGCCCTTGTGGTTCTAGCGGAGATCGCCTTTTTAGGTCGTCTCGACATGGCTAAAAATGCTGCTGCTCGGGTTGATTCGTGGGCTGATAGCTTTCTTTACCAGTCCCCGCCTGGTTTAAGGGGAAATTTTCCGGTGGTTAAAAGAAATGATATGGTTTTGGGGTCGGAAACTTGTGAGGACTGGTTAGAGAGAGAGGATGATGTGGCTTATTCGCGGGATTTTGATCGGGATCCCATCTTGGTCGCCGGTGCTGAGAAGGTTGGTTTTGAAATTTGTTTCATTCAGTTGTTTTTGTTTTCCCGTTCCTTATTGATGCTCTTTTCCCCAATTTTGTGCTCTCGATTCGATCTCTTACATTTGTGTGTATCTAACCATAAGAAGGAAGGTTTACATAATAGGACACTTAGTATTTCAGTTTTGCATTAAATGAACGATCTATTCTTACTTAATGCATGTAAGAGAATGAGAAATTTGCTTTGGCAGCTTCTCAATTTTGAGACTTTCTGGTCTTATCTATGTCTCACTTGAGCATCTGAACTGGGATTACATCCAATTTATTCACAGGAGTGGAGGACTTGTTCTGTAGGGTGTCAATTTGGATATGACTCCAACAGAACTCCTGATGCATTATTTGGTATGCTAAATGAACTGTCAGCAACTGTCAATGTGCATCGATCAATGGAATCGGCTCAGTACTATCCAGAGAATGATATTGCTACGGCACGACGGTGGGTAAGCACAATCTAAGAATAATGCCTTTGTTGCGTTTTGGAAAATGTTTTGCACTTTCGATCTAGCACTTGAGATTTTCTGATGTAAGCGTTTCATTGCTGAATGTCATTTCAATGACATAGAGCTTAACAGATTCAGAATGTCCTCGCTGTTTGTATATAGTTCTGGTTGCTTCAGCTTCTTAACTAGGAAAACGCTAATAATTGTTTCTAGTTTCGCTGGTCAGCCTACTTCGTAAGTGGACAATTGCCTTATGACTACTTTGTTCTGTTCTTATAGTTGATTTCTGTTTTGATATTCTTCTTTTTCTTGTTAGTGATTTGGTTCTTCTGCCTACTTTCTGCTCTTTCTTTGGATCTCCTGTGTGTATTGATCTCACGTGATTGCTGTTACATCTTGCTTTAGGTCCTGGTAACGGAAAAACATTTACCACCAGGGACTATACAATAAGATATGAGCCTCATTTTCTTATTTATAGACAAATACAGATACACTTCTTCTCTGTATATTCCCACTTCTCGTTCAATTAGAGGGCCAAAGAATGTAAATTGTTGTCAAATAATGTCTTGGATATGGCAAAGAGCCTTGGTTCTGAAGTTCTATCTTGTGGTAATTCTACTTGGATCAATTGATCAGAACTAGGATTTGTGCTTGGGAGTCCATATATAATACAATTTAAAAAATCATTGCTAGGTGCTTGGAGATGTTCAATACTCCTTTTTTGAAGTTCATGTAATAATTTAGTCCCTTGAACTAGTAATAGCAGTGATGATTATGCGAAATTCTGATTGAGCTTAATGCTTTTTCTGTCAATGAAATGAAATTGATGATATAATATTTATTTTGGGAGATATGATGATATGATTTTTGTATTGGTGAATTAAGAGGAAAGCTGATTCTCACCTTTTTGTATTGCTACATTTTAGAAGGGGATACCGTATAGTAATGACTACAAGTCTATCTTCAGACGTGCCGGTGGGATATTTTTCCTGGGCGGAGTATGATATCATGGCACCTCCTGAGCCAAAGACTGAGAAAGCCCTTGCAGCTGCATTCATTTCAAACTGTGGTGCTCGCAACTTCCGCTTGCAAGTTCTCGATGCCCTTGAAAAATTGAAAATTCCAATAGATTCTTACGGTGCTTGCCATCGGAACCGTGATGGTAGAGGTGAGCAAACCAATTTGGTTGCCAACACATTGCATATCCAACTTTGTCAGCTGAATTATGTTTCCTTTTTAATGTTCGTAATTTCTTAGGTTACTTTTTTTTTAATAATGGAGCTTGGTACACCTTTAGGTTTTGAGAATCAGATGACGTGCTCCCAAACATACTATTATCTCTTGGCAATGAAAATCCTCAAGAGAACGTTTTGGTGGATGAGATCTCCATGAAAATTATCTTTTGTAGGATGGTTGTTGTTTCACTTAGATGAGACAAGTCCGGCAGCTTTCTTTAATGTTCAAATGTTAAAAGTTAAAACTTTATTTAGCATTCAAATGTTGATTGGGCGTTACAGGCAGAATGGTTAAGTGGTGAAATGCTCACTTGAATCTCAAGGTAACAGGTTAAGCACAAGGAATGGTGTCAATAGACTGGGTTTTTGTTATTGAAAACTGTTGTATGCCACATATTGTTAATTTGTTCTTTAATTTATGTGGTAAGTTTTCACTTGCATGGCATTTCGATTGCCGTATGGTACCATTCTGTGTTTTAATCATTTGTTTTTCTTGTAGTGAACAAAGTGGAGGCTCTGAAGCACTATAAATTTAGCTTGGCTTTTGAGAATTCTAACGAGGAGGATTATGTTACGGAGAAATTCTTCCAGTCACTCGTTGCTGGTATTACACTAGAAATCGCACTGCTTTCTTTTTCTGAGTAGTTTACTTCTATTTTGTGTTCAATCTTGTTTGTGGTTTCACGATTAAATACAAAATGAAAGTAAAAATAGTCATTAGCAACAAACATAATCATCTATACCTTTCTACATTACAGTCATTGAATCGCGAGTGCTAGTCATTTGATAAGTATTGCATTTCTATAGGAACCATCCCGGTGGTTGTTGGTGCTCCAAACATCCAAGATTATGCCCCTGGGCCAGGGTCAGTATTACATATCAAATCCCTCGAAGATGTTGAGACTGTTGCGAAGACCATGAACAATCTGTCTGAAAATCCTACTGCATATAATCAGTCGCTAAGGTGCTATTCCACATCTTTGTTGTCATCTTAACTGAAGGAATTTATCTTCTGTTTATGACTTATGAATAAGCGAGATGCATGTTTGTTTTAGGTGGAAGTTCGAGGGTCCGTCTGATTCATTCAAGGCGCTGGTGGATATGGCAGCAGTACATTCTTCATGCCGTCTTTGCATTCACCTTGCTACTATGATCCATGACAAAGAAGAAAGTAGCCCGGGGTTCAAGAAACGCCCTTGCAGATGCACTCGAGGCTCCGAGATCATACATCATGTACATGTTAGAGAGCGAGGAAGGTTCAAGATGGAGTCAATTTTCTTAAGGTAACTAACCTCTTCAACTCTGCAGTCCCTTTATTTTTTGTACAGAAACTACAGCTAGTTGATTAATACCCATGAAGAAGCAAACATGGCAACAATCTTCCCCCATTCTGAAAGTTGAAAACCATAGTTGGAAATCTCAATCTAGTCTAGAGCAAATTGCTAATACAACCGTCGCAATGCCAGGTCTGGAAACTTGACAGTGGACGCACTGGAGCATGAGGTGCTGAAGAAGTTCAAGACCATGAAACACGTGCCAATTTGGAGGGACGAGAGACCCGAAAGCATAAGAGGAGGAGAAGACGATTACAAAGTCTACAGAGTATACCCTGTAGGGTTGACGCAGAGGCAAGCGCTCTACTCTTTTAAATTTTCCGATATCGACTTACAGAATCACCTGGAAGCGAATCCATGTGCTAAGTTGGAGGCCATCTTTGTCTAGTTAACAAATGAGACTTTACTCTGGTCTTGAGCTTGAATCCTCGGCTGCGCTCTCTCAAAACTTGAGTCAATATTTTCGGCCCAAAGTTAGCAGTGGATCTGTTTAACTGTCATCCTTGTACCAACCATTCTTGTATACGAGACAGAGTGGAATCACTTGTAGTGTAGCTCAGAAAACAGGGTAGGAAACGGAAAGCTATTGGAGACCCTTTCTTTCTTCACTGATCTGAGAATGCAATTGGTGCATGCTTTTTAGACGAGAGAATTTTGGTCTCATGTTGTCCTTTTACACGATCTCCTGTGGTTTAGTATGTAAACCACATGGAATGGATTAGTGTAGTGGCGGTTTGTGATGACTATTAAAGTATGAACTAGCTTATACCCGATCCGTTGGTCGGATGAATTCATTCTTTTATTTTCTATTTTTTATCCTACCCGTCGGCTGGATTAATTTAAATTTATCAAGTCATGAAATAGAAGCAAGAGCAAGAGAATGTCTATTTCTACATAATTATATATTTAAAATATTAATAGACCATTGATAATATTACTTTAATTAAAAAGTAATTAGATATAAAATACTATAACACCTCCTATTTGTTTAATTAAATGTATATCCAGACCAAGAAGGAAGTAACATGAGTTTAATAGCCTGTTCAAACGATTTGTTATCAATTTGTTATCAATTTTTGGGCATACAATTACCTAAGTTTTCTTTGTTTTTCAAATTTTATTTATAAAGAAAGGAACATATCTCTTTCTCACTCTAACTCTAAGTTTTTCCCAAGTAACACTCCACCCCCAAAATATTATTGTTTCTCATCATCTTCCAGTTTTTTCGAGCCATTTTACCCTTCATTCCCTTCCTTTAAAAAACATATCATCTCCAGAGTTCTTATCAAATTATCGTACTCGTCCAACAATTTGTAGATCGGTGGTCAACTCAATAATCTCATCGAATTAATCACTTTCAATATAGTCCCGAGTTCTTATCAAGTTGACAGATAGAGTTGACAAGGCCTATAAATAGTTTAGATTCTACATAGCCATAATATATCATTGGTGATTAGCATATCACTCACCAACTGATTTGAACCTTGCAGATACCTTATGTTTTCGTCAATTATTTTCCACTTCGACTCTCATTTACCATGTCCATATGTACGCCATTATCTAGTGAAATCCTCTTGTTTATTTTCGGCCGCATAAGTTAATTTGTGAATTTCTATGCATGATTCACCCTCCAACATATTATAATTCACGAATGTTTTTCGAAATCCTCCAAGTTCGCATTTTTGTGCTCTACAGCAAGAGTGAAACTCCACTGTCATATTTTTAGTAGATTTAGAAATACACAAAAAATTTGCTTACTATAATTAGTTATGATCAAGGTTGTCACTTGTTTTAAACTGTTGACGCATTCAAGCAAGTGGGCTAAGGGTTAATTGTGGAAACTCGAATTAGGTTAACTCTGTTTAGCCTTACTTTACGCGAACACATGGAAAATTGTATTGATTCCACATGTATTTTGCTTAGATCGTTAGAATATTAATTATAGTGTAGATCACTAATTTCAAATAAAATATAAAGCATCAAATACCGAATATGTCTCTACTGTCTAATTAATATGGTCCAGCCTAAAATGGCTTCGATTGACAATATCTTGGAAAGTTCTGAAAGGGTCTGAAAAAAATTTAAATTTTAAAACCCTTGCAAATGTACATAACATTAGGGCATAAAAGAAAAGGAACATGTTCTTGCTGTTAAAATCTCCAGTATCCATGGTTTCGCGGGCAAATGATTATAGATTCTTAGATCAGTAGAAGTGTTTAGAAAGCTATATAATTGCTCTACAAAGCTCTCATTCATTCTTACAGTAAATGAAATAGAGAAAGAACATCCTATCTATCACAAAGAAACCACCATAATACAATCATGTTGCGTCAGAGTGTCTCCATAAGTTCCTTCTCGATGATCCACCGCAGGAAAATCACAACCGCGCTTGTGAAATTCCAACCCACTTCTTGGAGTTTTTGACACAAAACCTCTGTTACCAACTTCGGCCTAGCCTATCCCTGTTCTTGTGCGATTTCTCAGAAACCAGTTCCCTTGTGACATGAACCAACCACAGTTCTGGAGTCCATTTCCAAAAGTTGTAGACTTTACTAAGTAAACAACTTTTAATCAACGTAAAGATGAATGGATGATAGGATGCCTACCCTTACGTGTCCCGCGGATCGTATCACCGATACCAAAAGCATCCAAGCCTACGTCATGCATGAATCCAAATCCGCTAGACCTAAAGCTACCACTGTCCAATACCAAACTTCCTATCCAATCCTGCAGCAATTTCCCATATGCTATCATGCTGAATTCTGAGCTCACACTACATATAAGTCGACCCATCAAAGTAATTACATACATATGACCAATCATAGATATAATTGAGCTCTCTCATCATAATACTAACCTAGATTGTTGTACTAATCGGTATGGTAAACTACCATGGGTGAAAAAACGTCAATAGTTCTGTGATAATTCACTCAATGAGCCACCGCGTTCCACTGCCACTTTCTAATAAAGCGATAGTCAGGTGAAAATCGATTTGCTAACCAACTCTGCAAGCTAGAGTTCAAACGAAACGAAACTAAAAAAATGCACTACATTTCTTAGAGTCGAAAATGATAAGCTGTAACAACTACTAAAGATCTAACAAATCCAAACACTTCCTCACTCAACCTTTCATATACAAAATAAATACCTCTAGGATCTTAAAACTTCAATCACTGAGACCTGCTCTATATCCAAAAGAAAACCTGATCAAGTGCCTTAGAGGCAGCTCTAGGCAATATTTGAGAGAGTTAACAACTAAATTCACCAGTACGAAAGCACCAAATCTGAAGAGAGAAAAAGCCTTCCTCGTCAAAATACTGTCATCGATTCTGTTGATTCCATTACCCCCTGACGCACATTTGCTACCTACTGAAATAGAGGGTATCATAAAACTGAAGATTGGATTACTATTTTAAGTTTGACAACAAAAGGCTGATTGAACTCAAGGTATTGAGTTGAAACCAAACAACATTAATAGAAATTCCAATCACATATTACTAAATAGAAAAGGAAGAAGTTGTTCTCTAATTAAAGCATAGAGGAAAAATAATAACCACTTAAGACGGTATGCAAAATTAAACGCAAAGCCTAACTATCATCATCGTAGACAACCCAAAACAGCTATATGGTCCAAGCAAAATAAAAGGTTGGGAATGTTCTGGATGTGAACTGCAATAACAGATTTTCTTATGGATATACATAAAGTCCAAGTGCCTACCATGTAAGTGATGTCAAGTGCTATGGTTTCATCAGAAGTGGTGATATTGTTTCGAGTTCTTGAGTTGTAGCAGGAACATCCTTCTCTAGTGCCACACACGCTTTCAGTTCAGCAAAAAATAACTCATATCAGTTTAGCTAAAACATAACTCACATACAAACCAACAAAAAGGATGTAACTTGACTATGATTAAGTTCTATTTTTAGCAAATGACCATATAAACCAACAAAAGGATGTGACTATTGATGGGAAAGGAAGGGACAAATACACAGAACATAGCAGTCTTGAGAAATTGGAGTCTTACAGTCGCTGATAGATGCCCTTGTTAATTACACAATTGTGCCCAGTTGAACCACCGCCGCTAAAGCGGAGGTTTGCAGTATGTTTTAGCAGCAGATAACTGAGCAGATTCATTGATTTGAGATAACAAAAGCGCATAAATTAACCATAGCAGAAATCAGGTAATCACATAAAGAACGCCCCAAAAGAAACGCTGAAAAAATTAAAAGGGACAGCAGTTGCCGATGGCGAAACTTGTTGTTGGCATGGAGGGAATGTACAACGAATTCGCACAATATCAGCATCATTTTCTTCGCCGTCGTCTCCTGTGTCCTCCTCCGCAACCTTCTACTTCTTTGTCGTTGTCTTCGCTGTCCAACAAAACAGATAGGAGGAGAGAAAGCAAATCCACAAATATAAAAAAAACGGGGTTAGAGGAAGAGAAGAAGACCGGAGCCAGCAACCTCTGTTACCTCCTCAATTCGCCGCCGACCTACCCAGAAACGAACCCCAAACCTTCCAACCCTCCCCCTATTCCTCTGTCCAGAATGACCCTGTCGGAGAAGATCGGAACCGCTCCTGTCAACTTTGCCTTCGATTCAGTGGGGAAGAGAAGGAAGAAGAAGCCGAAAAGCCCCTGCCCTATCATCCTCTTCCAAAATGAAAAGGGTCCCATACCAATCGTCCCCAGGGAGAAAAAATCCTTTTGCTGAGTTCGCCGGTGCTGCAGGAAGGGCGAATAGGTTTCAGGGAAGAAAGGAACACGTTTATGGTTCGGGTTCCAAAAAGGAGAGAGAAAAAAGCCGCCCAAATGCCCAGCCAGCTCAGCTCCCGCAAATCACTCTAAGGGCAGAGATTTTTGAATGGGGGAGGCAGTTTTATGTTTGCACTATAAATGATACTGTAGATTCGATCCGAAATGTGGGAGTAGTGGCTGTTCATGCTGCAAGGATTAATGCTCATAGGTACACATGAGTAGGCTTTTTTTTTTGTCAAATGATATCATATATTGACCGAAAAAATAGACAGTTACACCCTGGAAACCAGCCAGGTCTGGAAATCAAAGAAGCGACTCATAGTCGGATATAAAGAGAGGGCTTTCCTAGCTACCAAATGAGCTACCCTATTGTTTTCCCGACCTACAAAACGCACACTAAAACCCGGCTGAGTACGGAAATAATGACCAATCTCTTCCAGCACAGCCCCCAACCGGCTATCTCTGGGGCCGGCTTGGTTAATTTTGTCAATAATCACCTTCGCATCGTCTTCAAACCGGACCTCCGACAAGCCTTGCTCCACACACCAAATAATGGCATCTCTGAGCACAAGCAACTCCACCACTGCAGGATTATCCAAATGAGCGAATTGAACCCCTCTAGCAAGAAGGAGGGTCCGCGCTGGACCAAAGAGAACCATCCCACCAGCCGAATGCGACCCACTCTTAGTAGCCCCATCCCACATGCAAACCAAATGAGACTCTCCCACTGTCTCTGTAGGTTGCATCCTCGGGATAGACACCCTAGGCGCCTGGTCCGCTATAAGACCCATCCATTCCTCATACTGTTGGTTAAATTGCCGCATGAGAGCTGGGATCCCAAATTGTTTGCCTTCAAAGACTACCCAATTCCGAGATCGCCAGATCCTCCAAAGGATGGCAACAACAGCCATAACCACTGACGGTTGATGAATCAAAGCCAACAGACGTTTGAGAAACAAAGGAAAATATGCCGAGGCAAACCCTCCCCCAAGTATTCCAGCCCAGAATAATCCCAGAGAGCCCGTGTGACCGGACAATACAAGAACATGTGCTCCATCGTCTCCGGGCCATCCCAACAAACTGGACACCGAGGTAGCACCTGAACCTTTCTCTCAATAAGCGCCTCCATAGTCGGCAAAGCCCGATTAAGAATTTTCAAACAAAAACCTTCAACTTCGGAGGGATCTTCGCCTCCCAAACTCTAATCCAGCCCGGCTTATCCATCCAGCTAACCGAGGATCGCCACCCACCCCTCCTCCTGTCCAAATCAACAGCCAAATGGTAAGCCGATTTTACCGAGAAAACCCCGTCTTCCGTAAAATGCCAGATAATTTTATCAGGGACATCCCTTCGCGGAAGAGGAATAGCTTTAATAGCACTACAGGTCTCTGGGTCAAACCACTGGCTAAGCTTCTCATCAGACCACCTCCCCCCCCCCCCCTCACAAATCACCTCCACGACCAAGGGATCACCCCCCGCAGGCAAGATCCACGGATTATAGCATGGGGGATCTAATTGGTACTTAGGAATCCAGTTTGAATGAAGAAGGGAGACCGATTGGCCATTCCCGACCTGCCATCTCAACCCCATCTGCAATAACTGTCGTCCATGCAGGATACTCTGCCACCCCCAAGAGGGACGAGACCTAGCAGTCGCAGTCAGGAAAGACCCTTGAGGGAAGTACTTGCCTTTATAAACCTGGGCAATAAGAGATTGAGGTTCATTGAGAATACGCCAGCCTATCTTAGCCAAAAGCGCTTGGTTGAACTGTTCAAAATGGCGGAATCCCATCCCCCCATCATGCTTACTCCTGCACATGTTTTGCCAGGACACCCATCTAATCTTGGGATTACTGTCCTCCGCACCCCACCAAAACCGGGCTACATGTCTATCTAAAAGACGACAAAGAGCTAGGGGAAGACGGAAACAGGACATAACATGAAGGGAAAGAGCCAACGCTATAGATTTAATCAACGTTTCCTTCGCCGCCCACGACAATGTCCTTTGCTTCCACCCCTGAAGACGCTCTAGGAGTTTTTCTTTCAAATATCTAAACGTAGCCATTTTTGATCGAGCAACCAGCGTTGGAAGCCCCAGATATTTATCATGAACCCCCACTGCTCCAACCCCTAGGATCGCGGCCAAGAACTCCTGATCAGGCGTGGAAATATTCTTACTAAAGCACACAACCGACTTTTCCAAGTTAACGCGTTGGCCACTCAATTCCTCATACTCATTCAACACCTCAATTAAATTCTCGCATTCCTGAAGGGAACCTCGCAAGATCAAGTAAGAATCATCCGCGAAGAACAGGTGCGAGACTCTTGGAGCACGAGGAGCTACTTTCACCCCCTCTAACTTTTTCTCTGTGATCGCCTTTCGGAGGAGGGCCGCAAACCCCTCTGTGCATAGCACAAACAAGAGAGGAGAGAGAGGATCCCCCTGGCGAAGGCCCCTAGAGGCAGTGAAATAACCCGAGGGCGCACCATTCATTAGAACCGAGAAAGAGGAAGATCGAAGACATTCATGTATCCACCCTTGCCAGACTAAATTAAAACCCATCTTATCCAAAACTGCAAGAAGGAAGGACCACTCGACTCTATCATAGGCCTTTTCCATGTCAACCTTTAGAGCCATGCATCCCTTCTTCCCTTGGTTTTTTATTTTCAGATATTGCATTAGTTCATGTCCTATAAGGATGTTATCAATAATCTGTCGGTCTCTGATAAAGCCATTTTGGCCCTCCGAAAAGATCTGAGGGAGCATGCTAGCCAACCGTTCAGCCATGATTTTGGTAATCACTTTATAAACAAACTGACATAGGCTAATCGGACGCAATTGTCTAATTGTTTCCACTGAGTCCACTTTAAGGATCAAAGTGAGCCAGGTATGGTTAAAGCTCCACAGCATCCGACCCGAAGTAAAGAAGGAAATTACTGCTTCAACCACCGAAGTACCCACAATATCCCAGAAAGCTTTAAAGAATTTCCCTGTGAAACCATCCGATCCCGGGGCCTGTTTCGATCCCATAGAAAAGACCGTACTCCGAACCTCGCTGGGTAAAACCACAGCCGTCAAATGTGCATTCATTTGCGGAGTAACACTATGGGCAATTGGCAGATTTGCCACCCGCTCAGCCATATTAGGAACCTGATTTTCCGAAGTAAACAAGGTCTGGTAAAAGTTAGTGGCAATAGTAGCCTTCCCAGTTTCCTCAGTGACCCATTCACCCGCCTCATTACGGAGTCCGGAAACAAAATTCCTCTTCCGCCGAGCCCTTGTGACCGTATGGACATAGGCCGAATTTTGATCTCCTTTTTTTAACCACTTCACCCTGGATTTTTGTTGCCAGAAAACCTCATCCGCTTCCCACTAGCGGGAGAGCTTCGTCTCCAGAGTCCTGATCTCATCCCAATTCACCGGATGGATTGACTTTATCCTCTCAATCTCAGCTTGGAGCGTCTTGATATTACGCAGGGAATTAGTTGTGCCCGCCCTGCTCCAATCATAAAGCAGATGACGGAGTTTCTTTAGGCGCTCCCATAGTTGAAACATAGGGGTGCCTTGGATCTCCTCTTGCCAGACATAGTTGACCATGGCCCTTACCTCCGGATTATCCGCCTAACGGGCATCAAAACGGAAAAGGGGTCGACTAGTACGAACATATGGTTTATCAGCAAGGAGAAGGGCACGATGATCTAAGCCCTGGTAAGTGAAATGTTTGACTAGAGTCTCCGGGAAAGTGTCAATCCAGGACTGAGAGCAAAGCGCTCTATCCAGACGTGCACGAATGCATGCATCACCCATGCGCTTATTTGTCCAAGTGAATTGATCGCCTTGGTAACCAGGGTCATGGAGACCCAAATCATTAACAAACTCACGAAGACTAAAGGCTTGGGCAACATTCCACGCCCTTCCCCCATCTTTTCACTCTCCTGAAGAGTAGCATTGAAATCGCCTATGACCACATAAGGGAGGTTGATATGCGCACAAACGTTCAGCAATTGAGTTGCTCGAATAGCAATATTACAGCTAATATAAACAGAGATCACAACATAAGAAAAATCACTTTCATTGATTTGCGAACAAACCTAGAAATTAGAATGACTAAACACCGAAGTGTCAACTCCGGGGGCCCAAGCAACTACTAAACCTCCCGATGCATCGACTGCATCTACAAAAAAAAAAACAATGAGAAAGATCAAAACCTAGACCCCGCATACGGAAGGACACTACACGCCGGCTCGATCATGTCTCCGAGAAAAACACGAGATCCGGTTTATTGGAATGAACAAGCCCTATAGCACTTTGGAAAGTGAGGGATGACCCAATTCCTCTCACATTCCAGGCGAGAAGCCTCATTTATCCTCCTGGGGCCATTCAAGGCTGGCTACCTCCACCTTATCCAGATCATCAATCGACTCCACAAATTATTTCTTTGGGGTAAGGGGGTTACCCACCTCCCCCTCCAACTCAGCAAGAACTCGTTTCCGATTCTCCATGACCGGATCTAAAAAATTAGACCCGTACTCATTCAGCCTTGACCTCTCTCCCTTGCCCACACCATCCGCCTCCCTAGCAATCACTAACCCAGCTTCAAAAGCCTCAACTACTTGGTGAACACGCCCTTTCATGATGTGACTACCTGTCATGGTGTCCTCAGCTGGCGAGCGTCGCTTGATCTCAAAGGATTGAAGATCCTCAGCCTCATCATCGTCGAAATCAGTGCCCTGTTGCTGAGCAACGTCAACAGACTCATCCAACGGAGCAACAAAATCCTTCTCCTCCAAATCAAGCAGATCACCAGAAGGAAAAGAGCCCCCATCCTTTTGCGAATTGAGAAGGAAATGTGCTCCTCCTTTACGAAGTCGAGGGCGAGCCCTGACTTTCTTACTAGGATCCTCCATCGGACCAGCAGAAGCACGCTGGTTAATAAGGGCCTTAGACTCACCACCAATGGTCACCTCCTCCTCCTCCTCCTCCTCCTCAGATTCCTCTTGTAAAATTAATCTGCGCCTCCTTGATTGCTCGAAAGCTTCCTCCATCTGGCCCACAATCTGCTGACTCTGTGAAGTTTGCTTGGCACGCCGACCAGGCTGCTGGCGCCCTTTAATTCCCTGCCGAG